TATATACACATAAGTATATGTATACATACACACACATATATATTCATATATATATATACACACACACATATATATATATAATATATATTTCCTAAATACATAGGTATAACCTGCTCAGTCCGCATATTGTTACTTGTATGTATGTTTTCAGGGCTGACCATTTGGCGGTGAATAACCAATTTGTGTGCTCTTCCCTGAAGAAGACTATTTCTTCCACTCCCAGCATTCCTTAGTTGCCTATAGTTCTTTGTGTACGATTGAGGCCTTTTGAGCTGTCACCCATCCATGTTAACATTTCTATTGTTGTTGTCTTTGTTCACCTCACTTTTAGATAATTTTGGTGAGACTTTATAGTTATAGCTTCTGACATTCCTAGGTGACACTTATGAGGGTGCATTCATGTCACACATACCTTGTTGGTAACCGACAGCTCTCTAATTGAACTTAAGATCCTCTTAACAAGAGGGATAACCTGTATGTTACCAGAAACCTACCTAACTACACGGAGCTAGTGAGGTCAGGAATCTTGGAGTAGAACCTACAACTACCACTTTACTAGACCAGCATAGTCTCTGGCTGCATTCTAAATATTTGCTCTTGTACCCCCAGATAAGTGAATTCCTCACCTCTCATCAAGGAAGCTTTGCAGCAGGGACCATTACAGAAAAACCACAATGAATCACAATGCAGAGTTGTAGAGCCCTGTCCCAACGGAAAAAAAAAAAATCTATAAGCCCTACACCTAAGACACAGGGAACATTGTGAAAGAAGGAGCAGGAAGATTATGAGGCAGAGGAGCAGGCATTGAATCTCTTCTTTAAACATCAGAACATCTGTTTGCCAGCCTTCTCTACTTTCCTACACATGCCAGTGTCCTATGGAAACTCTTAAGAAGGCAGACTGGGCACAGTGGGTGAAGCTTGTTTTATCTTTCTATAGTGTCTGGGAGGAGATGCCAATGTGTATCCCAGGCTCAAGTCTATAGTATACCATTGGGCAACAGACTGGAGCTAACATACAAAATTTATATGGATCTTGGTTTTCTGTGATTCAGAGCCAAGGGAAATTGGCATAAATCGCTGAATTAAGATTGGAAAATTTGGGGCGTGTTCAGCAGATGAGGTGAATCCAGATCTTATGGCAGCTTATGCATGAATGCACTGAGAATTTTAGTTGGCCCAGAGTTTCTTACTAGTATCATTCTATTTTTCTCTGAGGGTATGTCTTGGTCATGTCAGAATGGCTAGTGCTAGTTGAGGAACGGAGACTGGTGACTCTCATCTTGATCAAGGGCTCTCTGTCTCTTCAAGACTGAGCATCTGCAGAGAGTTTCCACATAAGCTCATGTCTGAAAAGGTGACATCCCAGCTCTAAGATCCTATAATTTTGTGTGGGAAGAAACAGTGCATACTCCCCAAAGGCCAGTAAGCCAGAAGGAGACCCATTACCCTTTGAGTTGTGGAGCTCAGCATCTCTCTTTGGCTTTAAGTGGCCCTTGTTGGTTTTCATCATTACAAAGAATTAACTAGACCCTTTGTAACAATGGAGCCATAGGTTTGCTCCCTTTTCTCACTTCTAGACTACAAGGCCATGGGGTGGTTCTACTTTCTCCTGGAGAATTACTTATATTTACACACTCCCCAGGGAGTTGTTAATGTGCTAAGGAGGATATTGGCTCCCTTGTAGCTAGAGTTACAGATGGTTGTGAGCAATCTTACATGAGTTCTGGGTTCTAAACTTGGGCCCACCACAAGAGAACTATCTTTCTAGCCACTTCATTTGATACCTCTAATATGACAGAATGATGCCAGGTGCTTTCCCTTAGTTACTTCATTTAATGCTTATAATAGTGTTGAAGCCAATAGAATTTTCCCCATTTTAAATGTGATAACAGTCCTTGCCCTAGTTGTTGACCATTCAATATGTCAGTGCTTCTGGGGGTGGAAGAGTTATAAAATTAAAACTTGAAATCAGTAAGTTCCTTGTCAAATGTTTTAATGAGAATAGGCAACATAGAACTTTACGCAGAGACATTTAAAGAACAGAGGTAATTTCACAAGCATGTTGTATGATCAGTCAGGCAAGCATGCTTAGTGGTGAATACTAAGGAGAGAGGAAGTGAAGACCCATAACTAGACAGGATGGAGTGAAGAGAAGCAATGAGATGCCAGAATTGTGAAATGTGTTGTCCTGAGAAGGTATTAGTGTTACTGGGATGCCAGATAGTTAGTCTTGTTCTCCATTGAGGGAAACCAACCTCCCTAACAGGAGTGTGTGAGCTTATGCTAATATTGTGTGTTAAATGTTTATGTGAAGGGGTGTGTGTGTGTGTGTGTGTGTGTGTGTGTGTGTGTGTGTGTGTGTGTGTGTGTAATCACCTGACTTTATGTATAAGTAAATTGCTTGGATGGTCCTGGTGTCTATGTTTCTGGCTACATGCAGACTGGTAAGGAAAATCGAGGTTTATGCTCCTCCAACATTTGGAGATAATTTAAGTCAACTTGCCACCAGTGAAACATCTCCACAACTCCAATCATTGAGTGAGCAAAGTTCCTTTAGTGGTTTGTTTCTTATACTTCATTTAGTCACTGAACCCTCAGGTCCTGTGTTCTTGAGGTTTTCCATGAACAACTTGGAAGCAACTTATAGAGGAGAGAGTTTATTAGGGGTTCGCTTTCAGTTTCAGGGAGTTAGTTCATGACCATCATGGCAAGGAATATGAAAGCAGGTAAGCAGACATGGTGCTGGAGCAGTAGCAGAGAGCTTATATGTTGAGACAACCACAAGACAGAAAAAGAGCTAACTGGAATGGCATGGTCTTTTGAAACCTCAAGGCCTCCTAATGACATACCTCCTTCAACAAGGCTATGCCTACACCAATAAGGCCACACCTCCTAATCCTTCCCAAACAGTCCTACCAACTAGGAACCAAGCATTCAAACATGTGAGCCTATGGTGACCATTCCCATTAAAATTACCACAGCTTTTGTAATTAAGGTCAAAGAAATCTGAGACTAAATTTCTATATCAAGTAATTGAATAATAAAATTTATGACTAACCAAAGTAATACTAGGTTGTTGCTTACTCTTTTATATATTTCTTTATTTAAAACAATTATGTGATAAAATCTTGCCGTATCGCTCAGACTGATCTTAATCTTATGATCCACCAGCCTCATCATTCCAAGTATCCATGATTATAGGCATGTGCCACAATGTTCAGAAATATATATCTACATCTATCTATCTCAGAGAGACGGGGGGGGGGGTAGGTTACATATGAGGAATGAGTTGGTCACATGAAACCTTACCCACAAGTTCAAATGTGAAAGTGGAGTTTTATAGAGGCTAAATACCATCCATTCATTCCAACAGATATAAGCTCATGAGCCTTCCAGGCTCTAGGAACTATGAGTGCTGAGGACATAGCAGTGACTAAAACAAGAGACAATCACTGTCTTCACAGAGCCCTCATATAAATAGGAGAGAAAGATAGACAGGGCATTACATAATCGTAATCACTTAAACATTTTGAGTGTTCACTATGTGCCAAGAACTCTTTCATGCTCTTTTACATGTAGTAACTCATGTAGTTCACAATGATGGTTCTGTTATGTAGGAGCTATTCACTTCAATTTTGAAAGACATAAATTGTTGCAAAGACAAATTAAAACTTGCCCAAGGTTATGTGGCTGGTGGGGGGCAAAGCCAGAAATCAAACTTAGTATCTCCCGAGTCTGAGACTTTGTCTTTCTCTGTACTGACTTTATGTGGAACACATCCAGGATGGCTTGTGCTGTAGATAAAGATCAATGTGAGTGACAGTATAGCTTAGGGTATGGCTGCCTTTTGTTTTTAATGTGATGTTAGAGTTTTCGTTCCCTACGTGTTTTTTTCTTCATGAACATACCTTCTTTTTCTATTAAGAAACTTGGGCAACATGTTATTTAGCTCATTTCTCAAGGATGGAAATTGTTTCTAGAGACCAACAAGAAGTGTATTGAGTGGCAATTATATGTTTGCTCACTAGCAACTGTTGCCAAGTTCTACACTATTGGTCTGAGAGTCTTCAAAGCCTAGTGCTTACAATACACCATCACATTTTCATCTAACTTTTGAAGGTTAGAAGAACCTGGAAGTAGGTGAAACATTTGTCAGTGGTAAATGACTGCCACTCTTCCCCATTGCAGTGCATTGCTTCAGGAGCTCCTTCTTTGCAGTCTCTAAGAACTCATTCCTGTGACACATTAAAGCTTTAAGATTGATGATTTACGCCCACAGTTTAGATGGAAATGCCAAGTGGTTCTAGCTGTTAAGTGCCCTTAACAGTTTAGAGCTGCTGAATGCTTCGTGATTGAGCTGTACCCATGAAATCTTCACAGTATGCTGGCCCAAACAATACCTGAAAATGACAGTACCAGCTGATGTGCCAATGTGAATGGGAGAAATCTCACAAGGTCCTACCCCTAGATAAAAAGCTATGGACAATTACTGACTTTTGAGAGAGGGAGAATCTGTCTGCTCCCATGCTGATCTTCTGATAGGAGATCCAATCCCAAGCAGTCAGTCCTAAACACATATACATATGAGCAACACTAAATGAACTCAACAGTTGTATATAAATTTATGTGCATATATATGTATATGTGTGTGTAACAATTAAAGAAATAATAATTAAAGAAAAAAGGTCATTAATTTGAGGAATGTGGGAGAATATAGAAGGAATTAAAGGGAGGAAAGAGAAAGGACAAATGACGTAAATACTGCATGCATGCATAAAATCCTCATAAAAATCAGTAAAATAAAAGAAAGTAGATCCTACTACATAGATCTGGAATGCTGTAAAGTTTCCTAGGAGAATGGTAATAGGTGTTTTGCTCCAGTCCTTCATGTCACAAATAGATGTCAATAGAAACTTGAGTGGGTAGTTTCAAGTTTGGACATCCATACAGAGAGAAGTCACCTTATTGATGAGGTGTTGTCTGTCTCTTCTCCTACAGGGCTGCTTGACAACACCCAACTCACCGTCCATGCATTCTCGGTCCCTAACACTGGGTCCCTCCCTCTCACTGGGCAACATCTCTGGAGTGTCTATGAAGTCAGAAATGAAGAAGCGCCGAGCCCCTCCTCCTCCAAGTCCAGGACCCCTGGGTCAAGACAAAACATCAGAAAAGGTAGGGGAATGCTCCTCTCACGACCAAAGCATCTTTTCAGTGACCCAGTTAACTCCACTGCAGATCCTTGGAAATGCTGAATTCTTTACTCTTGTGGTTTTAGCAAGCTGTGTTCAGGGTGAACATCTGAGCTTTATTTAGAAGTCAAGGTGCGACGTCACTGTGTTTCAGTTACTAAGGTAGGAAACTATTTTGGGGGCTTTGGTTCTTAAGGACCCAATGCTTGTAGATTCACATGTGTTTTATTTTAGCACTGAAGTTTTGGGGAGTGTCAGAGAGATTGCATATGAGAAATTGCGCAAATAAAGGTACTTCAAGAAAACCGGGGCCCATGAAAGAGACAAATTGCACAAATAAAGCTACTTCAAGAGAGCCGAAGCTTGTGAAAGAGACAAAGTGTGTGACCAAGATGCCTCAAATTATTCAGACTCACAGAAAAACAAACTTCACCATATTAATTTGCTTTTAATATGATACAGGGTTCACTTCATAGGCCTGGTATTTAAGAAGCCCACTTTCTGTTTGTCTTAAGAGCAGTGCAAAGCCTTCTAAGGCATTGTGTCATTAGATGTTGTGCTGAAGATCACATCCTCAGCAGTGAGTTACCTAGCCCATGGTTTCTACTGGTTCTCTTTCCTTCAGCTACCTGCTGATACCTGGAAGCATTACTTGAAATATCAAGCCCTCTCTTCCCAGGAGTAGGGAACCATGTGTCCGTATAAACTATGATATCATTTTCTGACATTTCTGGTACTCACAGCTAACTACACTCTGAAAATATTAAATAGGAAGTTCTAGAAACAGTTTATATATTTAACTCCCACACTCCTCTGAGTAGCATCATGGAAATCTCAGTCATACTCCATCCTGCTAGGAAATGAGCCGTCCCTTTGACCAATGTATCTATATTGTATGGACTATCTGTCTGTCAGTTACTAAGTGGCTATCTCAGTTATAACTGACTGTCATGGTATTACAGTGCTATAGTCACATAATTCTTATTTGACTTAATTGTGATTCAAACATGAAGAATAGTAATTTAAACATGGAAGCGGTTGGTATTTGCCAAAGAGAAGCTTTCATTAAGTGGAAAGGTGAAACATTATTCAAAGTGTATGTGTGTACACACATGCGCGTGCGTGCACGCGCGCACACACACACACACACACACACACACACACGCACCCACACACACGGAAGCACAGAGTATAAGCCTGTGTGTGTGTGTGTGTGTGTGTGTGTGTGTGTGTGTGTGTGTGTGTGTGTAGTTTAATACTAAGGTTTCAGGCATCTCTGAAATTTGTGTCCTCTGTAGTTATTGTGGGAGGGATTAGGTACTACTCCTCTTTTCCAAGCTCTAAAGGAAATACTGAAAAAAAAAAAAACATGAAAATTTATTTTTCTAAACACATCCTCAACTGGATGAAGTGTGGAGATCACCTCTTGGGTACCTGAGAGGCGCTCATGCTTTTGGCTGTTCCAAGCTGTGCATCATCATCCATGTGCTAAAGTGCAATTTGAGAATGAGGATGGCTTTTTCTTCATTGGCTGCTTTGTTTCAGCTGGCCCAGCATTTCTTCTCCCAGGAGAAGAAAGCATACCCTGACCACTGGTATCACATGAGTCATGCTGTGCATCTTTTGCTCTCTGATGGACTTCACATCCTCTTTTTTCCTGATGCCTTGGCATCCCTTGCTCTGTCCCTGCATCATGACTCTCAAGAACAATGACAGTCTACGGATTTGAATCATTTTTACATTAGTCATAACATGGCTTGTTCTGAAAATATACTTATGTATACTAAAAACAATGTCCAATCCACCAAAATTTGAGGCTTTGCTTTGGGTCTTCATTACAGCTGCATATCACTATGATGGGGTCCTGACATCTTCCTTGACATGTGTTAGTTGTAGTTCTCATTGCTGTGAGAAAATATCACCCTAAAGTGGGAAGGGTTTGCTTTGGTTTGCAGTTTGAGGATACAGTCCATCACGGCAAGAAAATCACAGCAGCAGGAGATTGGACATCTGTTTACATTTCATCAGGAAGCAGGGAAAGATGAATGAATACTCAGCTCTCTTTCCTTTTTATTCAGTCCATACCTCAGTTCATCAGATGATACTATCTACACTCAGCATGGCTCTTCTCTCCATTAAACCTTTCTGGAAATGACATCATAGACATAGCCAGAGGTAGGTTTCCAAATCAGATCAAGTTGACAATGTAGACTAGCCATCACAGCATCTTTATCATTCTGTCTGTCTGTCTATATGTCTGTCTGTAGACTTGCCCTATAGGTGTCTTTATTTTTTCCACAGGCCTCCTTAACCTTGCCTGTCAAGAGACCACATCTGACCCTATAGGCCCATACTCATTTCACTAGAAATGTATCTCAAAATCCTACAACACAACACATTTTAGAAGATGTTCTGATACTTTTTGTCTCAAATACTCATTTCTTTTGAGATTTTTGTGATGCTGCAGCCATGTTCTAATTAAAGGAAATTTAGTCACAGAGGTACATCAGTTGGTTCCATACTTGATGGGATGATGTAGCCACTATGTGAAGCTCTTTCCTGTGAGCATAGTTCATCTCTTTAATCAGTTTAGATTCTGTACTTTTTCAAAACACCCAGATATATTGATAACATTAGCCATTTCCAGTTACTCCCGAGACATCTTTTTCTTTCTGGTTCAGATAGATATTTCTTTAATGATAAAAAAAATATGTATTCCAGGAGCAGGGTTATGTAAACACTTTACTTCAATAAGAAACCTTAATGTGATAGAACATAGATGGTACATCAACATTTCAACATTTTCTTCTGTACAAGGATGTTATGTTTTGTTTTTCTGAATTTAATTTAGTTACTCATACTGGATATTCTGCTGGAGCAGAAAAACATATAGTAACTAGAGAATTGGGAACTTTAAATGGAAAATAAACAGTACATTCTCCCCTGCAGAATGAACAGAGTTCCCTCTGCAGCAATAAAAGCTTCTGCTGAAATCTGTTTTATTTGGCACAGAATGAGTTGAGAAATTGGTTGCTGAAAACCATCTTCCTTTTTAATTGTGTGAGTGAAATACAGATTGCATTTAAGCCTTTCCAATGAACATGCTTCTTTGTAAAGAGAAATATATTTTGTTATTTACCAATTTCTGAGAAAGGAACCCAAAAAACTATGTTGTCCTGGTTGTTGGGAAGAACATCAATTCCTTTTAATGAATTTCCTTTCATCTAAAGATAAGTTGTTTGTTTGAAAACCTTATTTATATGTAGCTGCTACTAAAACCAAAATCCTGAATCAGGAGAAAAATGTTTAGTTTCAGGACTTGGCCAGCTTAGGAGAAGACTTAGGTTTTCATCTTTACATGTCTCTTTTTCTTATCAACTAGGTGGCAAAATTAAAATTTTACCTGTCAGTGACTTAAAGGTAGAATAACTTTGCCATGTTCTGAAATTAAAAAAAAAATATTATGTATCTTTTACCCAGTTAAATACTCATGATTTGGTCATCAGTATTTATTTTTGAAGGCAATTCCCAAGAGATGTCCCTAGAGATGCTGTAGCTGGAAAACAAGCAATGCCACCTTTATACAAATCTCTGTGTAGAGCTTTTGAGAACATGAGTGGGAACAAAGGCATGATCTCTTCAGGAGGAGGATGGTGCCTCTCTTCAGAGCCCATTACTTCGCCAACAGCATCTTGACCATTGACTATATTATGGGGAACTTTCAGGTAGAGATAACATATTATGTAGGTCATGCACTAGGTGCTGGGCCAGTATTTCTCTAACTTGAACAGACACAGAGTAGGATTGTAAACTCATGTTCTAAGCCTTGTTCCCAGAATTCCCATCCATTGAGTCTGGGAGGAACCTGAGCATTTTCATCTCACCATATCTGTTTTGCACTTTGCAAACTACCACTGCATAGAAGACTGTCTCTACTCAGAATTCTGACTAATCAATTTATATATGGAGAAAACTACAGCAGAAAATTTATCTCAACACGAACAAATATAATACCACAAAATAATAATTATTTACAATTGGCTTCACATAGCCATCGATTCCATATCTGTAGATATAACCAACCTTGAACCAATGTAATTGGAAAAATATTGTGTCTGTGCTGAATACATACAGTCTTTTTTAAACATAGTCCCCTAAAAATATGATTTCCATAACATTTATGTTTTATTAGGTAATCTAGATGTAATTTACAGCATATAGAAAGATGTATACATATATATGTATATATATATCATATGCATTGCCATTCTGAATAAGGGATATGAACATAATTTTGTATCATTGTGGATACCAAGAGACACCTGTAAAACCACCATGAAAGAAGTTGAGACCTAAAGTTGTATTTCAAAATTCAAAAGAAGTGCACACTGGGACCTGAGGAATATTCATCAAGCAGAAAGGAAATATCCATTTTCCTTCTCTTGTCTCCTGGTTAGGAAGTCATGTTGCATCTCCCGCTTGCCTGATGCTGTGATGGCTTTTCCCAAAACCTCAGCTCTGAGTCCGATGGGATCTCAGCTTGCTGTACCTGTCTTTGAGCCACAACTTATGTACTGTCTTCAGCAATCTGCCCCAGGGAGAACTGTTTTCTTTCCATCTAGCCATGGCTTTCCCACTTGGTTTGCACTTGTTTTGTGCAAAGCAATGACAGATTATGAACAAACGCTCAGTCAGATCCATGCTTGACTGAAATCTATGCCCAGCTCTCTCTGTGGTCCCCAGTGCCCTCCTCTGTAAAATGAAAACAATCAGCAGTGTTGACAGGAACATGTTGGAATAGTCAGAATGAGGGACCTGCAGCAAGATCCCCTGTGTGCCTGTGTTCTTAAGTGTGCCAAGTGTACAAAGGAGGTGCAGGAACAGCTCTGTGTGAGGGTGAGGTCGGAGGACAGAAGGGTGTCATGAGAGAGCTGTAGGGTCTAGCCAGAGTTAGACCACGTATCCTTAAAAATCAAATCATTT